CATACTAGAGAAATGAAGGAATGGAACTCATGCAGTTTATAAATGGATGGGAGCCACTGGATTCATGTCGTATGGTTAGATTTTTTTAAACTGACATTTTGACCAATAATTGAAAGTGTTTTTCAATCCGAGTTGTACTTCCATTCTTCTATTTTAACTTCAACAAGAAAATTCCGAACATTTTATGAATCGAACTAATGGAACATCTTAACATATCGACATAATGACAACATAATTCTGCCTGTAAAAGTTATCTTTAATCCATTAATATAAAGTGCATAAAGTACTCTCGCGAGATACGATATTCATATCAAGAACAAGTTTTTTTTTTTTGTCTTGGCAGTGGAAGCCGATCAATATAATTTGTTTCCCGTGATTTGAGAAATCCAGTTGCATTTTCTTGCAACTCTTATGACAGTAGAAAAGATATGTAGTTGCATTCCGGAGTTCTTGAACTATGTCGTCTGAAACGGAATAGTAGTGCCATGATGATTCCCTATATAGAAAGAACGTTACATTGGATGGCAAGGACAGGTTTGCTGACAAATGTAAGGGAATTAACAAAAAAGAAAATGTCTGTATTACATATACATGTCGAAAGACGTTTATGGTAGATCGAAACAGTATATGAAAATACCGTACCTATACGAATTTTGGAACAACCACAAACAATAACACATAGCGATGAAATTCAATATTCCGCTTGTATTTCCATCAGCTCGTGCGATTTGACAAATACTTATGTTTTGAATATCGCTATTGTATGTTTCGTTGGTTCAATAGTCGTTGATGGATGTGCAAAATGCAAAATATTTTATATTGCGGGAGTTCAAAAAGTCGATCAGCTGTTATGGTTGTTATGAATTTGATGTGAATATTATTCGAGAATGCAATTGATGAGTAGAACATTACTCGAGAATGTTGTTATGAATTTGATGAGTAGAACATTACTTGACTGGAACTGTTAGTCAATTGACGCTGTTTCACTGTTTGTTCATTTCCAATAAAAAAAACTAACAAGCTGGGAAATAGCTTTTTTAAACCAGGTTATTGACCGCGGGCTTAATAATACGGCTGGAAATTGCGGGGCCATAATGAAAAGATACGTGGAGAGGTCAAATATTTCTACAATAAAATCTAAGTTCCTAAGTCCTTCTAACTTCAAAAAGAGAAAAAAAGTCCTGGCTTGATTTTCGTAAGCGCAATTCGAAACATTTAGGAAGTCTGTGAATTCGTTGTTTGTGATGAAAAGTGTGTGCATCTAAAATATCACAATAAATGCGAAATTATGTGAAGCGATCTTTAGAAGAAAAACAGAGAAATGGGGAAACGGATCGCTAAAGTGAAATGAACTTCGTTATCCATCGCTTTCATCGCCCTCGAAGTTAATAAGGCACACTTCAAGCTTTCAAAATATA